TAAAAACTGTTAATTTACAAAAATTGAACATGTTACACAAAATCGATCAGAGCATTTATAACTCACAAGTTGTTTACATGCCAACATACTAATTACAACAAAATACCTACATTGCAAATTACTCCTGATCTGATCCTTCCTGTAAAGTATAATGTCCACTCAGCTCTTAATTCTGATCCTCTTGCTTCTTGGCACCTACGTGTAAATCACTTACACGCTAAGTCACAGACTTAGTGAGGCAATCAATGAACATGTAACAATAAATTCATGAATATGCCCTCTTACCTTTTTATCATGATGTTTCAATGTACATATATATTATATGATAACATATGTAAAATGATATGCACATATGAACTTTACTTCTTATATACTTTTCCATTATATTTATCTTTAAATTGCCCATGTACATTATTGAGAACAGAGGTACTTGAGTACATTGAGGTTGTGCACTAATGCTGTCACCACAGCTCAATAAATTCCCTCATGGGGCATCGAACATTCGTTCAGTATTTGTCCCGAATGACCACTATGTCCCGAATGACCACTATGTCCCGAAGGACCACTGATTGTTCCGAAGAACCACTATGTCCCGAAGGACCACTATGTCCCGAAGGACCACTGTATCCCTCGACTCTTGGCATGCCAATATATTTCTCATATTAAAGGACATGGGCTTAATTAACATTCTCATTATCATATCACTACTATCACTTCTCATATAGCACATAATTTATTTCATATACACATGATTCTTTTCAATATTCACATACTTGTATCAATTACCCTTGTAATGGCATTTGTTCACATAATATCATATTAAAGCATAATAAATTGTGCACAAAATCACTATAACAATAATGCATGTATGCATATACCTGAATATGAAATTATAATTCAACTATCAGGGATAGACTTATCACAAGTCTTATCTCCATATACTTAAACCATAAATGCACTCACCTTAGCCTTGCTCGTTTTGACTCGATACTATCCTTTTTGTTCCGGAACAGACTTACGTTCTATATCTACAAGTAATACATTAATATATATCAGTATACTAATAATATGCTAAACTATCACTTCTTAGTCTAAAAGAAGGATAACTTTATCTTTAATAAGGGTATGCATTGATGCACTCTACAGTGTATCGATGCATTTCTTAACGGGTGCATCGATGCACTACTTATGCATCGTGCATGAATCACATTCGATGTTTGTATTCAATGGGGTGCATCGTGCACTCCTTATGCATCGATGCACTAATGGCATTCGATGTTTTTATTTTATCAGAGTGCATCGATGCACTTCATGTGCATCGATACACCTTGAACAATTTCTAGGATTTATCCTTGATGCATCGATGCATATTGAATGTGCATCGATGCACATATCCCAGAATTGTTATTTTTATCACGAAATTCATCCCTTTTTCTCCCCCAATTCTTCTTATTTCACTTCCTTAATGTTTCTACTTGCATACATATACTTACACTCATTACTACTCAATAATCACTTCTTTAAACTTAAAATCAATCTTCCACATAACATTCAAGAATTTCACCCCAATTCCAACATGCTCAAAATCTAATTTCGACACTTTATAACCTTATTAGGTAGATGACAGTCAATTCAACTTCTTATTCTAATTATGAACTCTATTTCAAAATTTCATTCACAAACTCAAATCTTTAAATCTCCTACACTCTTCATTTTGTTGTTTTGAAGCAAATTAAGCTTCTTAACCTTACTTATCACCTAATAGTCAAAACCCAACTTAAATTTCAGTACATAATCAGCTTAAAGAAATCTCACCTTGAAATCTCACCTTGCTTAGCTTCACACGTGAAGAACAAGAAGAGAAAAGAAGAGAACTCTGGAAGCTTATTTTTTTCTTCTTCTTCCACGTGTAGCTAAAATAAATATAAGAAATCTTAATTATTTTCCCTTACAAATGACCATTCTATCCTTCAATTTCATTTTCCTTACAATTTAACCCTATACCAAATTTCAACACTATTTAATCATTTAATCACCACATTCTGAAGTTTTATAATTTAGTCACTAACCCGGTATTGAGGCTATTACAATAGTGGTCCTTCGGGACAAATACTAAACGAATGTTCGGTGCCCCATGAGGGAATTTATTGAGCTGTGGTGACAGCATTAGTGCACAACCTCAATGTACTCAAGTACCTCTGTTCTCAATAATGTACATAGACAATCTAAAGAAAAATGGAATGGAAAATTGTATAAGAAGTAAAGTTCATATGTGCATATCATGTTTACATATGTTATCATATAAGATATATGTACATTAAAATATCATGATGAAAAGGTAAGAGTGCATATTCATGAATTTATTGTTACATGTTCATTTATTGCCTCACTAAGTCTGTGACTTAGCGTGTAAGTGATTTACACGTAGGTGCCAAGAAGCAAGATGATCAGAATTAAGAGTTGAGTGGACAATATACTTTACAGGAAGGATCAGATCATGAGTAACTTGTAATGTAGGTATTTTGTTGTAATTAGTGTGTTGGCATGTAAACAACTTGTGAGTTATAAATGCTCTGATCGATTTTATGTAGTATGATCAATTTTTGTAAATTAACAGTTTTTATTTTGAATGAAAGTTTTAAATTCCTTGTTTTTCTATAAGTGTCAAAGTTTGAAAAGTCAATGTGACACCTCATACTCGTATTCGGGTCAGATACGGGTTAGGGGTGTTACACGAACATAAACGAACACGAACATAAACGAGCATAAATGTTGGAGACCCTACATTCCATTGTTTTTTCATGAAAAATAGTCGACAATGCAAATCAACCAAATCTACAGTGATAAATAGCGTAAGAGCTGATTAGCAGTGATGAAATGTTTGAAGATATCAAATATTTCAATCGATCTTTTAAAGATATTAAATGATTCACACGACTTTAATTTAACGCTATAGCATTTATCTTAGTGGTCGATGATTACATATGAACAATCATTTTCCACTACGTTATTCTTATAAATTCGCCGGCTAAAAGTTTTGTGACATCAATGTCAGACTTTAGTGAGGTTTGTTAATAATGGTCCTTTCCGTTGGCAGAGTAGAAAATTTAACAGCATGAAGATTTTGAACGGTACAAATTAGATTACAAGGCAATAACATAGATCTGAAATCCCTTCGATGCTACATATCGTAACTGATATTATTGCTAAACCACCATTCAAAATTTTAACGTACCTAAAGTCTACTCCACAACTAAAGGTCACACAAGAACTATGAAAACAAAAGTTCATTGTCAAAGTGTATTTTCTACTTATTAATGGGTTCTTCATGGAAAACCCATTACTTCCGCTATTACACTCTTTTTTAGAAATTACATAGAAACCTTTGTTCTGTTTTCTGGCAAATTCTATATATTTTTATCTTTACTGATGCTCATATACTTCCGATTGTTACATTTATCTTCCCATATATTTCTAGAAAGAAGTACGATGTTTTCTTGAGTTTTAGATGTGAAGATACCCTCAATAACTTTACATATCAACTATTAAGCCAAATAAAATAGAGAAAGAGATGAAAACATACATGTAAAACTTCAGATTGCACTATAATATAATTTGTTTTGAAGCTTTCAGCAATCGTCTCCACTCTCCAGTGAACACTAGGGTTTGGGAAAAAAGGGGGAAAATGAATATTGGCACATAAATTGGATATCATAATATCAGATTAATTAATATTTTTAAGATACTTACAAATTGGTCACCAAAATTGATTTAAGAAGATTGGGTTAAACATAAATGAATGAAAATAAACGAACATAATCGAACGTTCACGAACATGAATGAACGAACGAGACCTATGTTCATGTTCGTTCATTTAATTAAACGAACACAAAATCTTGTTCATGTTCGTTCATTTAATAAATAAACGCACATAAACGAACTTCTCACCGCACGGTTCATGAACGGTTCGCTGAACGTTCAGTTCATTTACAGGCGTAGACTCGGTCCAACATTGAGAGTAGGGGCGGCTTCAGGGTAGGCTGTGGGGGCCTCATTTGGTCTGCCCTTTAAAGTACACCCCTCGTATGGGTCATGTTTATTAATTATTAGACATCTTTGTAATCCGTAAAGTCCCTTATACACGTGATAATGCCACCCTTTTTAGACCTATAATATAACATCTGCTCACTTGCCAAAACATAATCTAATTCTCAGATGCGTCAAGATTGGAGTCCCCCCATAATATAATTATAATTTTAGACTAAAGAATCAAGATTCCATCATATTCCCTACCACATAATGGATATTAAATATTAAGGGTAAAACCCGAATTTTCATTAGACCGATTGTTGGTAATGCTCAATCCCACATAATATTAGAAATACTATTGGGAATGAGTATTTAAGGTTTGGATTTCTCACTTCCTTGTTGAATGAAAGAGAACAAGGGGGACTCTCGCGCACCGCTGCCGCCACCGTATGTATTGGCTCGGCTCGTGGTCGTGGTAATACGTGTCTTCGACACGTCCGTGCGGATAACAAATGGAAAATGTGAAAGATTTCAACTGATATTTAAGGCCAATATCAGGAGTTACATGATATAATTTCAGGAGTTATAACATCTGATATTTCTAGCTTATAAATAGAGAGTTGGATTCAGCTTCTCAACTCACTCTCAACATTCAGAATTCACGCTCCAAGTGTTTTCTAAATATTTTCTCTGTGTGCTTTCCGATCAGAAGTGAAATACCACCAGCAATCCACTCAGGTTTCGGGTATACGAAATTCGAAGTGACTATGTTAACCTCGGGGGACGATCCACCTACTGCAGCAATTACACACATCAGGCCGAATTCGTTTCTAAGGCAGTGGTTTTACCACGACACGGTTTACGAATCTGTTCTTTTTAAATTATTGTTTATTTTTCCTGTCAGTGCTAACGGTGTGGTTTTGCAGTCCATATTTCCAACAATTTAGAAATGAATTCCATATACTGCAATCATGACAACACCTTTGAGCAAACTGATTCTTGATCTTTCCAAGTTTGATGCATTTGATGGAAAGAATTATAGAAAGTGGTCCCAACGAATCCTGATATTCTTCGACCAGCTTGATCTTGACTACGTGCTACTCAAGCCACCATCTACCATGCTGCCAACCCCAACTGCTGGTAATGATACGGATGCGGTCCTGAATGATGATGCCTTAGTAACTGCCGCCGCCGCTCTCACTACCTACGAGAAATACGAGAAATACGAGAAAGACAACAAAACAGTGTGAGGACACCTGCTCAGTCACATGTCAAATAAACTATTTGATATGTTTCTTAGAGAAAGGAGTGCCAAGGCAATATGGGACACTCTGGAGAAAAAGTATGGTACGGATGATGCGGACATCAAAAAGTATGTTGTCGGTGAATGACTCAAATTCCAGATGACAAACGACAAGCCGATAATGGATCAAGTCTATGACTGTGAGCACTTAGCGCTGACATCATCGCCGAAGGGATACAAATGTGTGAGGTGCTGCAAGCCAATGTTCTCATTGAGAAGCTGCCCAAGTCCTGCTCCGACTACCGCAATTCTCTTAAGCATAACAAGAGAGAAATTTTGCTTGAAGAACTGGTGGGCCATATGAAGATTGAAGAATCCAATCGTATAAAAGATAAGCTTACTAATTCTATGAGTAATTTATCTTTTAGAGCTAACTTGGTTGAGTCTAGGTTCAAGAAGATTATGAAACGTGGGAATCAAGACAAAAAGATAAAACCTCATAAGGTTACCAACTTCAAGAAGTCAAGAAAGGCCAAACCTGAAGGAAAGACGCTCAAGTGATATATCTGCGGTTTACCCGACCACAAAGCTTACCAATGCCAACACCGCTCAGACCGCCAGAATGACAACAAGCCACAGATGCACGTTGTATAAGAAGATGAAGAAATCATTGCTGCGGTGGTCTCAGAAGTTAATCTGGTGGAAAACAGTTCAGAATGGGTAGTTGACACTGGCGCTTCGAAATATTTCTGCGCAAGGAAGGAGTTTTTCACCGAATTCGAGGATGGGAACACAGTTGAACGTGTGTACATGGGGAGCTCTAGCAGCTCTGAAGTGCTAGGCAAATGAAATATTTTACTCAAACTGACCTCTGGTAAAACTCTGGCTTTAAATAATGTTCTGTATGTACCTGCCTTGCGTAGAAATTTGATAAGTGGTGGGCTTCTGAATAAGGCAGGCATTAAGTTAGTTTTTGAGGCAGATAAACTTGTACTTTCTCGAAATGGTGATTATGTTGGGAAAGGGTTTTTAAGCAATGGTTTATTTGTTATAGAATCTCAATTTAATAAAAATAAAGTTACCACTTCTGCTTATATTGTTGAATCCATTGATATGTGGCATGCTAGATTAGGACACGTGAATATTCATGCTTTAAAGAAATTGATTAATATGAATGTTCTCCCTAAACTAGACACAACTAGCTTTAACAAATGTAAGATTTGTGTAGAAGCTAAGCATACTAGACCTCACTTTAAGACTGTTTCTAATAGAAAGACCGAGCTGTTAGATCTCATTCATACTGATCTAGCAGATTTTAGAAACACTGAAAGTAAAGGAGGAAAACACTACTACATAACTTTTGTAGATGATTATTCAAGATATACAAAAGTTTATCTTCTAAGGACTAAAGATGAAGCTGAAAACTTCTTTCTTGTTTATAAGGTAGAAGTTGAAAATCAGTTAGATAGGAGAATCAAACGGGTTAGATCTGATAGAGGTGGTGAATATGGATCTAATTTCTTAAAAGATATTTGTGAAAATAATGACATGATTCATGAAACATCAACCCCCTATTTTCCTCAACAAAATGGTATAGCCGAAAGGAAAAATAGAACTTTAAAAGAGATGGTGAATTCTTTACTAATAAGTTTAGGGTTATCTGATAACATGTGGGGGAAGCATTCTATCAGCAACTCATATCTTAAACCGAGTTCCTCAAAAGAAATTAAATTCTACCCCATATGAATTGTGGAAAGGATACGCTCCTAATTTACAATACCTGAAAATGTGGGGGTGTCTGACCAAAGTGGGTTTGCCAGACTTTAAGAAGTCCACCATCGGACCTAAAACCGTTGATGCAGTGTTTATAGGGTATGCTACGAATAGTGTCGCATACAAATTTATGCTTTTACAAGATTATTCTATTTGTGAGTCAAGGGATGTTGTTTTCTTTGAAAATACTTTTCCTTTAAAGGAACTGAGAATAAATATTGAAACACAAATATAATATATTTCATCCACTTCTTCTAGTAATCATGCTAGGTCTTCTAAACAAATTGTTTTTGAGCCTAGAAGAAGTAAAAGGCAAAGAGTTGAAACCTCTTTTGGACCAGACTTTATTACTTCCTTTATTTCTGAGATAAATGATTTAGACTCCATTTCAGATCCTATAGCTCAAAATTTTCTATTAGATGAGGATCCTAAAACTTTTGAAGAAGCTATAAGATCTATCGATGCTAGTTTCTGGAAAAACTCTATTAATGATGAACTAGAATAGATAATGTCTAATCATACTTGGGAATTAGTTGACTTGCCTAAGGGATTCTAACCAATCTGCAACAAATGGGTATTTCAAAAGAAACTGAGGCCAGATGGTTCGATTCAGCGGTACAAGGCAAGGTTAGTCGTCAAAGGGTTCACTCAAAGATTTAGTTTAAACTACTTTGATACATACTCTCTCGTTACGAAAATCTCAACGATTCGTGCATTATTTGCTCTAGCCTCTATTCATAAGTTGTAGGTACATCAAATGGATGTTAAGACTGCTTTCTTGAATGGGATCTATATGAGGAGATTTACATTGAGCAGCCACTAGGTTTTGAAGCACCTGGTATGGAAGGAAAAGTCTGTAGACTTCAAAAGTCACTTTATGGACTTAAGCAGACTCCTAAACAGTGGTATGAGAAATTTCATAAAACTATTCTTAGTTTTTGTTTTGTTGTGAATGGTTCGGATGCTTGTGTGTATTCGAAGATGTTTGGAACTGAATGTGTCATCATAAGTTTGTATGTTGATGGCATGTTGATTTTCAGTTCTAATATTGAGTCCATTAACAAAGTTAATAATTTCTTGTCCACTAAGTTTGAGATGACAGATTTGGGAGAAGTAGATGTAAGCTTAGGAGTCAAAGTTACCAAAACTGAAAAAGAGATTTTATTTAAGTCAAGCACATTATATAGAGAAAGTGCTAAAGAAATTTGACAGTTATGATGTCGTCTCTGTTCGAACTCCTTATGACCCTAGCATACATCTAGTTAATAATAAAGGAAGTAGTGTTTCCCAAACTGAATATGCTAAATTAATCGGAAGCTTAATGTTCTTAATGAACTATACTCGGCCTGATATTGCTTATGTTGTGAGTAGACTGAGTAGATATACTCATAATCCAAGTGGTGAACACTGGATTGCTCTTAAACGTTTACTGAAGTATCTTAAGGGTACTTTGGATTAGAAACTTAAGTTTGTTGGCTTTCCTGTGGTACTGAAAGGATATTGTGATGCCAACTGGGTTTCTGATAATGATGAGGTAAGCTCTATGAGCGGGTATGTTTTTACTTTGGGTGGAGCAGCAATCTCGTGGAAATCATCAAAGCAGACTTGTATTGCTTGTTCTACCATGGAGTCAGAATTTATAGCTCTTGACCTAGCTGGGCAAGAAGCCGAGTGGCTCAGAAGCTTGTTAGCAGATATTCCGTTGTGTGGAAGACTGACTCCTCCAGTTTCATTGTTGTGTTATTCACAAGCTGCGATATATGTGACTACTAACCAAGCTTACAATGGTAAGAAAATACACATTTGCATAAGACATGGATCAGTTAGACACTTAATAAAAAATGGAGTGCTCTCTTTAAAGTATGTGAAGTCGGAAAGGAACCTAGCAGATTCGCTTACCAAATGGTTAAGTCGGAAACTGATCCTAGATTCGTCGAGGGGGATGGGTCTAAAGCCCATTGGTTGAGGAATTCATGGAGGATACCCAACTTAGTTATCTAAGTTCCATGTGGTCAAACGAAACCATGGAAAGACTCATAGTGCACATTCCTACTGCCTATCCCTATGATGAATAATGTGTATGCCCAGGATGAGCTTAATTGCTCTTAATAAATTCATAGCCCAGGCTTTGGGTGGTCTTAGTGAGAAAGACTTGATGAATTTACCGATTTTGGCTGAATATCTATTCTTAATAAGTTCATAACCCAGAGTGAGAGGATATTCCTAAATGAGAAGGAAATAATGAACTTACCTACATAAATGTTGAGTTTGTTAAACTCTTAATAAATTCAAATCCAAGTATTTGGATGGTTCTAGTGAGAATGACTTATTGAATTTACCGATAAATGAGGTTGAATATTTATTCTTAATGACTTCTTAGCCCAAAGTTTGGGTGGTTCATTAATAATAAACTTGAAGAAAGTCACTATACCCTTTGTGAGGTTAAGCTATTATAAAAGCTCTTAATTATTTCATATCCATTTTTAAGGGTGGTTTATGTTGAGATAACTTGATGAAATAACCTATGTAAGTGAGAAGGGTTAGCCGCCTTCTATGAAAAATGTTGGGCCATTTTTCTAGCACACTTACTAGAATCCTGAGGTAAGATGACCAAATATATACTTTTGTATATATATATATCTTACACATCGAGGACTCAAGTGGATGAAGGGGTTAGTTGTGTGTTATGAGTTTACCCTCATCTTAGAAAGTTCTAGACTAGTTTCACTTATCTAAGAGAAGGATTGCTCATCATCACTATGTACTAGTTCCAGATACGTTCACTAGTGCTTAAGCAACTAATCTCGCTATTGCTCTTCTGGAAAGTTTGTTTTCAAGTTTCAAAAGAATTCTTTCGCATTAGTGGGGGAATGTTGGTAATGCTCAATCTCATATAGTATTGGAAACATTATTGGGAATGAGAATTTAAGGTTTGGATTCTCCACTTCCTTGTTGAGTGAAAAAGAACAAAGGGGACTCTCGCGTACCGCCGCCGCCGCCGTCCGTCTCGTCTCGGCACTGCTCGACTCGTGGTCGTGGCCGTGGTCGAGGTCGAGGTCGTGGTTTTGGTTGTGGTAATATGTGTCTTCGACACGTCCGCTCGGATACTATCTTTTTAGAGAAAATTATTGAGGAATTTCTCTTTGAAAGAAACAAATGGAA